GAATTCTATATCATTATATATCATCTACATCATGTTGGTAAAGTTTCAATAGGTGGTCCTTTTTCAAGATTTCATCNCTTTTCATCAAAGTAGACCATGTGTGATTGAGGGAAGAAATCTCTAAATATGAAAGTTAAAATAAATTTGATATTCGATGTATACTCATCAAATGGAACATTTTCATATCAGGATTTAATATGTTTTGATGAGAAACTCAAAAGTTATTGTTGACCTATTGTACCTCACAACTTCCCTTTTTACTTGATACTTTTATACCTACAGACTTGAACTTTTGAAATTTCATGTGAACCTAATGATGAATACTGTTAATGATGATATAAACTATATAATCTCATTAAAGGATTTTGAAATTATCATTCTTCCTATGGTTTCATTTATGAAATTTTAATCTGACATTATTTACAAAGTTAATATTTTATAAATTGAAAAACTAAATATACCACGTTATTCTACTCATCATTTCCAATCGAATGATATAAAATTTAATGATATTTGAATAAGTTTATAATTTTGGGCTAGGATTAGAGTTGTTTTGATTTGTTACTTCGGTGGCACCATGGTCTTTATGATCTAATATAGAGTCTTTAAGTGAATCTTGGGCTTTTGGAAAGGTTTTTCAGTAAAGTTTTAAAAAAAGTATATACTTTCTATCTAGATATCGAGATTTGGTGTATTTGTTGTTTGCGTTGTTATTTGGAAAGTGGTAAAGATTTCGATATTCTTGGATTCTTAGATTCGGTTTCCATTCGAAATTGATTGAAGATTCGCTAAGATTCGAATCTTTTTCCGCAAATAAGAATCTTTACCGGTATGAGATTGAATATTCAATTAGCATAGGTTTTTAGGTTTAGATTCTTAGGTTTTCGGACAAATAAATTTAACACTACAAGAAAGACAAGTAAGAAAGCTGCTCTATTTTGGCGTATAATTTTTAAAATTACTTTTCAAAGTAAATCGATTTTATCTACGTTAAAATATTGTGTTCAATTATTATATGGATTGGTTGCAACTTTAAGATATTGATCTATGAATATGAAACTGTTCCAGATTGTTATCCACATAAAGAGGAGTGTATTCATATTTTACACTAATATGATATTTTGCAAAATGAATGGGATGGAGTGTGATCTTTGTGATGAAAGCTGACTTTTTGGAAGAATGATATTATTATCATACTGAATATAATTCTAACAGACTGTAAATGATACCATATAATTAATAAAGTGATTTAATATATATGGTAAAGTTATATAATGATTGAACCTACTTTCATTGAGATAGAGAGTTCACTAGGATATAAATACTGTTGACATTGAACATGAACCGATTGGTTGAATGATAGTATCATGAATTGTTTCTAAACTTGTTTATATATACTTAAATGATGTCTAGATTGTGTGATATCAATTTTAGATTTATTGCACGTAAATTGAGTGATTTGGAGTATAATCTATGATATCATGTCAAAAGTCCATAATAAAGTGATAGAGTTGACAACAGGACATTTACTTAACCGATATTCATGAAATTGATACCATATACTAATTAGAGTGTCTACATATCATGATTTTAATTTCAGTGAAAATGGAGTTGTTTCTATCTTTCAGATTTCCATCCATTCCATTGAATTACCACCATGTACTATCTACCGGATGTATTTCTTGAAATGAAAATATATAATTTGAAGAAAGTCCACTTTATTTGAGATGTTAAACATGATAGTATCATTTATTTTGAGATTGGTAACTTTCCCTATAGTGTAATCCTTAATTGTATTAATTGACTAAAAGAGGTCAAGGAGAGATTTCAAAACATAAAATAAATGATATTTTCGAGATGTACTATCGATTTCCAATCGATTGATATGTATTTTGTTGATTGAGGATGTGGTTCTCTATATTCAAGATTTCCTCCTTATCCTCCCAAGTCAACCTTGATAAATCACTCTTTACCTTACTGAATTATGGAATATTTACCAAAATGTCTAAAAACTGAATCATATACATTATTAGAGATATGGAACATGATTATATGATTTAATTTGAGATTGGTAACTTGGCTGATTCACTTGTTCATTTGAGGGAGAGTTTACCACCATTTAGATATTAGAGATATTTCCAATTAGAATGAATGATATTTTCGATGACTACTCATCATTTGCAACATTTTCATATGTGTTTTATTGACTGGAGTGATGTTTTTGATATCTTGATTTTCACCTTTCAATCCTTAAAGTCAACCTTAAGATATCAACCTTTACCTTACTATATTGTCAAATTACATTTTAAAACTCTAAAATTGAATTCTATTACATTATTTGAGTTGTTAAACATGATGGAAGTGTTTCATAGAGAGGTCATTTTCCAGATTTTCATCCATGTCCATAGTTGACTAGATGGTATGAAAGGGATGAAATCTTGATTATGAAAGTTAAAATAAACTTGATATTCAATCTCTACACATCTAATGGAGCATGTACATGTGTAATTTGCTGATTGAAGTGATGTTTTTGATTGACTTGATCTGACTTGTCTTTCCTTTCAGTCAACTTTGTAAAATCAACATTTACTTTCCTATGGTACCATTTCTGATTCTTATGATATGAAATTGAATTCTATATCACTATAGATCATATAAATCATTTTGGTAAAGTTTCAATAGGTGGTCCTTTATCAAGATTTCCACCTTTTCATCATAGTTGACCATGTGTGGTTGAGGGAAGAAATCTCTAAATATGGATGTGAAAATAAACTTTCTCATCAAAGCATATTATATCCTGATATGAAAATGTTCCATTTGATGAGTAAACATCGAATATC